AATATACAAATGAGTGAATATATATGACTAACCAGATCAGAACACACAAAAAATAAGAAAAATACAATCATATCCAAACTAGGATATTAGAACTCAACAAAAGTAAGCGAACAAAGATTACTGTGATTTTAGTATAAAAACAAAAAATGACATATAGTTAGAACAATCAACAAGAGTTTATGATTCATAGAATAAAGTAAACACAAACGTAACTACATTGAGTACTTGACAGGCTTTGAATAAAAACGAGATATCTTGAAAACTAATCTGAATTATTTGTTGTCTCTTTCTTCCTATCCATCTTTTTACATTAGAAAACAAAATAAATGGAAGTAAATAAAAAAATCTTTGTTTATCCATTTACCATTCAAAATAGGTAATTCATCAAGAGTAATGTTAAGGTTTGGGCTACATATGATAATCCAAAGCATATTCAATATAGAAAAATCGTAACTAAAATTTTCGGTGAGACTGTAACTCATGGACGACCTCTGAACGAAGTGATCTTGAGAAATGTTAGCCAGTCAGTAAACAGTCAGCATAGAGTAAAAATACATTATACAAAACCAAAGAATTTAGGTGTATACACTTCTTTTATATGGTCCAAAAGCTTGTCAATGTTAGAAAAGGGTTAAAAGGTTCCCAAATCGTAATGCATAAGGTAGAGGAACTCATCCATATGACTCCATAATAGTTTGTGTCTGGAGCCATGATAAGGTCACAAAATTTCTCTCAACCTCGACCACATTAGCTTCATTATTGTTTGCGTGTAATCCGGTTGTGTAAAATTATCATTTTTATTATGGATATATCCCTACAATACTCATACCACTGAACAGCCGAAACTTTAGTAACATCTGCAATTATTGCAGCCAATGTTACGAGTGCTTTTAATATACAGTTGGCGGCAATGATTATAATATACCTTAGTCTCAATCTGGATCGAGTGATAAATGCTCCTGTTCTAGCAAACGTATTCCTTCAACATATATTACATCGAAAGACAACATCACGGTAGTCTGCACATGGCCTACAGGTCATCTAATACTCGTAATTACAAATACAGCAACTTCTTGGTAGTTCCATTTTTTGTAGCCGCTTAATTGTCAAGTCTTCTTTAAAATTCTCTGTGAACCAATTGTACATTAGCAACAGGTAGTGAATTTGGTGCTGTGACCTTGAAATCCCTCAAACACTTCTGATTGGCTCGCCCATAAATTATCGTCTCGCCAAATTTTCTATGTATCTAATGTTGACAAAGAGATTGAAAGATAAATTACGTAGACTAACCACTTCTTTTTGTATCTGTTAATTCATTCATTCACATGGAGCTAGTTACATAAGCAGATGTTCTTAAAATTGACACATGCTTGCAAATATCCTTTTAGTGTCTGTAGTCAAAGTATGGTCATTAGCTCGATTTTAACCCGTCTGGTTATGTCAATCGATTATTTATGTTAAACTATCGTGTTAGTAATTATGTATTGAAATCCATCAGACTTCGAATCTTTCAATCGAAGGTAGCAAGAGATATTTGGACTAAAAATTCGAGATTTTTTGTACAAATGAAATATATTCAACCTTTTCTATTACCTCGGCCAAATTCGGGTTTAATAAATCAGTTGTTATCTTAAGGATAAGATTATCTAACTTAACTGGTGTACAGTACGCCTTTCTGCTAGAGCGGTCACAAGAATAATGAGAATTTCCTAGAATAGTTAAGATCTCTTCTGGAACGATAACCACTCGCATGCTTTCTACCAACAGAATTTTTCTGCATAACATTTGCCCTTTGTTGGGTTGTCATGATTTTAGCGTTCGCTAAATTGCTGTATGCTTAAAGGTCATATTCTGCTACTATAATAAGAAATTTCGTACAAATTTTTATTTGAGTTGCTTGTTCTACCACATATATCAAGTTATCTGCGATTCCGTTTTCTTCCCGTCTTAGCCGTCGGGGTTTGATTTGTTGAATATAATCGACTGTTGTCAGCTCCGAAGAGAACCGATCATATTAGAGCAGCTCAATCATTTTCATTCCTAAACCTATAGCATCGTAGACCATACTGAATCCTAATTATAAGACACGACACTTTCTGTGTGTCTTCGTAACTTAAACTTACCTTATTATTATGGTTATTAAATTATTACTTGCATACCTATGTTTATTACCATTATTATCACTGTTATAATCAATCTTAAAATGCTCAACCTATCCTATCATTTCTTTGTTCATCCATACCAATATATATGGTTACTTAATCTTAGATCAAGCATTTGATTTAATTTGTATTTATTAGTTCTCTTACTATATATTACCTAAATCTATTCTGACTTTTAATCTGATGGTAATTGTAATTTACTTGTAAACTGTTACTTGATATTACACATAATCAACATGAACATTTTCATTCCACAATATTGACAATCTCAAATTGATGTATGGTAATTTTAAACGAATTGGTGACCTTGTTGAATGTCTGGGCTATCTTTTCATTTCATCTATATGTTTCTTTGTTTGTTCTAACATATCATCATGTCAATTAGTTGCATAACTTATTGAAGAGTATTCGTGAAAATTTTTTCGACCTTTCGCTGTACAAGTTACAAAAAATTGCAATCGAAGACATCATGATGGCTGGTAATATGCTTTGAAATGAATATACATTATTCAGATATCGATTCCTGGACTGCTAACATCTAACTGGCAATCACTCAATACTTATCATCAATATCGATTAAGAAATAAGGAATGGTAACCATGAAGTACTTTGTTCTGAGAATTTTTAATTGTACCAAACTTAAAATAGTGAATAAAATCACTAATAATAATAATAATAAATTGAATTTTTTTATTACATAACAATAAATTTAAATTTGGAAGCACTGGACGGCTGTTTCGTCCCATTGTGGGACTCCTTAGCAGTGCGCACCCACGACCCCACACTCACGAGATTTAAATCAAGGACCTACCATTCTCGCGCTAGAGCGCTTAATCGATAGACCACTGAGCCGGCATCTGTTATTGTCTAACCTCAAACAATCCGCGATTTTGAGCAACCGTTCACGAAACGGCCGTTGAGTGCTTCCAGGTTTTCGATGGTGGTCTAGGTTCAATTGACTCATGGTTTCAACCACGAAAATACTAAATTCTCTACAAAACCCCTTTTGACCAAAAATTTAAATTTATCATTATAGAATGAATCCAAGATTATTATTCTATATTCAATTCATTATTATTGTTTAAATAAATATGGAAATTTATTTAATTATATAAATTTAGAAAACGGTTATACAAAAGAAAATTTTTCATTATTCTATGACAAATTGTCATTCAACTTGACAACCATCATCTTCATCATTTTTCTCTTTCTTTTTTTCTTTTTTTTGAAAAAAAAAGAAACTCAATAATTTCAATTGATAATGAATAATCATTTAATTAAAAGAAAAGAAAAAGAGAAAAGAAAAGTGATACTCTTTTTTCTAATAGAAAACTAGCCTTTATTCATATTCTGTAACTAAACTGACAATAATTGTCATTGGTATTTACATATCATTAAAAATTTTTTTTAAATAATTATTATAATTATGATATGTGCTACTGATGTTGACAGATATAAGTAGTATATATCATGAATTGAAAGTGGGATAGCTGACATCAGTAGGTTAAAAAGATCAAAGAGAGAAGAATATGAACAGAGATTAATTGATATGGAAACGAAAGAAATAATCAAATCTGACACAATTGATTGAGGTTTTGCCAATGAAATATTTATTGTATGGTTCTTAGATTGAACTCAGAGATTCTGTAAGTTTATATTGCAATATATTTGGTTGTTCTTATTTGTGTTCTTGTTCACTACAATTCTAATGTAATATTATAGGATTGTGTAAAATTTTCTAAAGAATAGTTCAAACTACTTAAATATGATTTCCAATGGATTTCATTATCAATAAAATTTATAAGAGTTATGTAACTTAATTGCATAACTGAACATGGTTATTTTCAAAAGTGAACTATACATTACCAAATAAATTGGAAATCATCTTTAAAACCTTTCTATTTAACAGTTTGCTAGAAAACATTTATGTTTAATAATTCTTTAGTATGGTGTTGTGGAGGTTGTTGAGTTTTTTGATTGAAATCATGAATCGATCAATTTTTGTTTTTTTCCGAAGGCAAAGGAACAGATGGTAAATGGGACATATTTCACTCTAGTTGGAGACCTGTAGTCAAAACGCTACAGAGAACAGGTTGTTCATGTCCTTTTTTGAACTAGGTGCCATCAGATCAATCAAATGTAATTCAATTATCCAAATTTTCAATATCAGTCGTGTATCATAGGGAAACTAAGTTCCATTTGTGTTTATCTCTGTAGATTAGCTAATTAAACGACAATCATCTGCTCACAACTGACTGACTTCCAGATGAACCATGACGATGAAGTGAGATTTCATGTCTGGCAGTGATAGATTGCTTGTTAGCTGTGTCGAAATACACTATTCACAATCAAGACTAGGGTAGTGATGAGGGTTTGTTGGAAGAGGGACTCGAACCCAAACCTTAAATCACTAAATCACCATCCAACAGTATGAATGTCTAACTTGAGCAACATTTCATCCATTGTCTGAGGTGACTAACTGTCCCACACCCCACATGAATTAACGCCAATAGTCACAGCTTCCCACTAAAATTCAGAGAATTGTTTCTCAAAGCTAGTCACCAATGAACAAATGGTAATTATCAGTAAGGGATTATAAGGATTTCTCATTGAATTGTTAAACAATTACAGATATAAAATGTTACTTTGAAAAAAAAAACAAATCAAAATTATAAAATCTTCATAGGTTAAATGAATTATTAAAATGATTTCTGGAAAACAAAATTTAACTAAGAAAATAGTATATCTGTATAAATACAAAAAAAACATTATCAATGTATGTGATCAGTAATATAAGAGAATTTTTTCAAAAGACCTCCCCCCCCCAAAAAAAGCTAATTAAAATGATTTTTTATGACGTTTATCTTGTATAATAGATTGTGTAATATATTGTGATTGTTTCATTTGTTGTTTATCATTTTTAGTATTATTTATATTACTTGATAATATATTCTTATTTATTTGTATATCTGATAATTTAGATGGCATTAAAGATGATGATGCTATTGTTGTTCCTCCTGTTACTGCTACTCCTGCTGAGGATGATGATGATGATGATGATGATGATGCAACAGGTAAATCAATTTCAGATAATTTTGATTTTGATTGTTTTTTTAATTTTAACATTAATTCACGATTACGTTCTAATAAAATATTTATAAATTGATTATTAAATTCAGTTTGTTGTTCTGTTATATTTGGTAATATTGGATTACGTTTAGATTTTCTTGATATAATCATTTGTTGATTATTATCATTATCAATATTATTATTATTACTATTATTAGTATTATTATTATTAATATTGTTAGTATTATTATTAATATTATTACTATTATTATTGTTATTGATTGATTGATTGATTAAATTACCATCTTCTATATGTTGTTGATCAATAATAGAAAATTTTTTACGTTTAAATAAACATTTAATTTTTTTAAATTTTTCTTTTGATTTTTCATTATTATTATCAATATCATTGTCATCATTTTCATCAATAAAATCATTTGGATAAGTATTGATTATATCAGTAATTGAATAATCACTATCCCTATTATTATTATTATTACTATTATTAGTATTATTATTATTAATATTAATAATATTATTATTACCATTATTGATTGATAATTGATTAGTAAGATATTTATATGTAATTGTATCAGGTAAATCAGTTAATAAACATTTTGATTGATTAGGACGTATAGCAGCATAATGTAAACGTAATGAAATTTTTTCATAAATTTGAAATAATTTTTCATTATAATATTCTGGTTTATTTTGTAATAATTTTCTTATATATTTTTCATCAATATTTTTAAAAAAATCTCTTAATACATTACGTCGTTTACAATTGATGATAATCTCCATGGCAGCTAATAATTCATCTAATATATTATTATTTAATGATTGAAATAAACTTAAAATTTTTTTATTTTCCATACGTATTTTTAATAATTTCACTAATGGTTTCATTGTTATACCCATAAATCCAACAGTAAATATAATAATAAATAATGTTGTAGTTACTATGAGACTTTGATTTTCTTCACCATTACTACCTAGAATATCAGTTGGTATTAATATAGCTAATGAAAATGCAACAGCCCCACGTAACCCTCCATAAATTAATATAATTTGTTCTTTAAATGTAATTTTGATATCATCTATATTAATAAGATTAACAATAGATGTCATAATAAGAACAATAATAAAACGTGTTAGTAAACAGATTAATAATGACCATAATATATAACCAGTATGCCATTTTAATGTTTCACCAATAACAGCAATACCTAAGAATAAAAATATAACAGATTCACTAATTTCTGATATAACTCTTATAAAATTATGTACTGTAATACGTGTTTGTGAATCAACATTATGAAATGCATAGGCAGTTTGTATAAGACCACAACCAATCATTGAAATAATACCAGACCAACCAACACAATTAGCCATAATATAAGAAAAATAAGATAATAATAATATTGTAAATACAGCTAAATGACTACGTATTCTTGTAATTAAACATGTTAGAATACCAAATATAACACCAATGAATAAACCACCAAAACTAACAGTAAAAAATGATGCAATTCCAATACCAATTTGTGTACCAGTTATATTATCTTTTCCAGTGAATGCAATCATTATTTCATATAATACAACTGTAATGGCATCATTTAATAATGATTCACCAAATACAATATAATATAAATTTAATTCTAATCCAATATCTTGAAAAATAGCCAATACAGCAACAGGATCTATAGCAACAATTAATGAACTAAATAATAAGAAACTACTTAAATCCACAGTAATTTGTGGATAACCTAATGCCCCACTAATATATAAACCATACATAATAAAACCAATTAATAAAAAATTAAATATTGTACCTAATACAGCAAATATTAATACAGTACCAAGATATTCACTAAATGTTCTATTATATAAACTATATGCTGATTCTAATATAATAGGAGGTAATAAATAATTAAAAAATATTTCTGGTGTAAATTTCCATGATAGAATTTTAATTGAACCTTGATCAATACCATAACGTATTATAGCACCAAATATAATACCAATAATGATTAATATAAATGATTCTGGTATATAAGATGATATATATGGTATATGATGATAGGCTATTTTAATAAATACTACTGATAATAAAAATAACATAACAGTAATATGTACTTCATAATCATTAAATTTCCATTTAACTACAGCAATCTCTTCATGATTTGATGATCCATTCACATCATTAATAAAATTGAATAATAATAATAAATAGATCATAGATATAGATAAATGATCATTCATAATGGATCTACATTTATTGATCAATAGGATCATAATGGATCAAAATATTTGTTGTTTACTTTTCTCTTCTTTTTTTTGATTATTCGAACTAATATTAACTGTTATAAATGGTAAGTGATCATTTAATTTACATATAGATCTATCTAACCATCTATATATATATATATATGTATATATATATACCCATTCACTGATGGTTATGTATTCATCATAATTGGATGGTAGTATTTTTGAGTATATTCAATTGTTATTATATATCTATCAATCTTTATCAAACTAATTCAAATACATTGAACATTCATTCAAATAGAACTTTGTTTTAATTACAAATATATATTCCAGTTCAGGCAACAAATTAAAAAAAAATAAAATTTTATTTTCAATTATATTATTTAATATTTTTTTATTTTTTATTTTACTGATAGTAACCACATGATGTCCTTAATTGTATTTAATTTCATTAAATTTCTGTTACGTAATCATAGTGACAAAATTTTTTTTTTCAAAAATGTTATTCAATATACATTTATTCTCTTTTTTTTAATATTGACAATTATGATTTGTAAAAAATTTTTTTATAAAATCATACAAAATGGAAAAAAAATGGAAGAAAGAAAAAAAAAAAATGTCAATATCTAGTATCAGTATGGATGGTTACTTAATTATTCATCATTAATACCCAATATCAATATGGATTGGTACTCAATTATTCATCATTAATTGTAGTTAAGCACAATTGTAAAATGATGTTACTAGGTGATATTAATTTCGGATACCGGCTCAGTGGTCTACCGGTTAAGGGCTCTGGCTCGAGACTGGCAGGTCCTGGGTTCTAATCTCGCGAGTGCGGGATCGTGGATGCACACTGCTGAGGGGTCCCATAATAGGATGAAACGGCCGTCCAGTGCTTCCAGGTTTTCCATGGTGGTCTAGTTTCAATTGACTAATGATCTCAACTCTATAAAATTACTAAAATCTCCACAAAACCCCTTCTGAAAATTTATCAGTTTAGTTTTTGTTTTAGCGTAAAGTTTTAACCTCAATTGTTATAATTAAATGTTAGATTATCAAATATTATTTTATCATACAATGGTTAACTGGTTTTCTGATATTTGTCTTTTGTTTAATGATTCTGTTTACTTGTTTATGACTTGTTGAAAACTTTTTTTTAAAAATTAAGAAAGTTTCAGGAATTTGTGGTGATGGTACTGTATTCACCATTGAATTCATGAAAGCTATGAGCACATGAGCATATATCAGAGAGTGAAGTAAAAATGACACGCATTAGAAATGGCGAGTAAGCCAACACACCTTAACCAAGAGTTAATCAATATTTATAGTCAGACAAAAGTAAATGACAGAAATGTAATAAATAGGATAGGAAGTGTACACACACCTACGCTTGTATAAAATGGTCAGTGCTAATAAGTGAATAATTAACAAGGTGAAAACATGACTCAGATGGATAGGTGAATAGGCTTGTCCAGAAGTATATAAGCTTAACATATCAACCGATACTACAAAATTATCTTCCGTTTTAGTGATCTTATTTTATTAACTGGGCTTTACTCATTTTAATCCTATCAGCGTTTACTCATTATATAATCACTTGTTTCTGGCAGTTTGAATTGTTGTCACAGTCAAAGTTGTAGAATTTTCGTCTTCATAAGGTACATATTTACAATATTCAGTCTATTAAATTTATTTACACTCTTTCTGTACTATACTGATGTGTCTTCAGCATAACTTCCAACTAAACTCTTTCATATGAGTGATTTAAACCCATTTTGTAATTCTGATTTCGAAATATCACAGATTGTAAGCAACTGATTAGAACCAAAGAAATAAAAAGAATTCATACTATTCTGTTCAAATCTTTGTCCTTGCTCTTTTCATCAGTATTTGTTTGATAAGTATTCAACTCCGAGCGAGAAAATTACTTCCTTTAAGAACGGTTTAACATTCTGATTATAACAGAGCAAATAAATACGAACATAAGATCTGGGACATTTTTGGTGTTTTTACCTAGTATGTAACATAATGTATGTTTGCTTTGTCTTAATTCATAACTAAATAGAAAAATAAGCAATTGATCTGTTTTGTCAGAATGAAACTTGAAAATTTAACATTCAGGAATGTATCCATTCACGTCACAATTTGAATACATATGTACAGTATATTAGTATTGTGGCGAATGAGAATACTAGTGGGGACAATCGACTGTATTTAAGCACAAATTACAGACTGTCTCACTAAAATCTGATACCCATACAGTAAGCAGTTAATTTGTAAAGTAACAATCAGTTGTTTCAATCTTAACTGTTTCTTTTGCAGATATCAGTTCATCTTCTCTGATTTCATTGTTTATGCATTTTCATACTGATTGCGCTTCATTCCAGTTTTTTTGCTTGTTGATCTTCTGCCAAAATACATTCTATGTCTGACCATCACTATATGCTACTTATGTGGATATAAGTAACTCACACCACAGTGGTACCTGGAGATATTTTGGCTAACTCTCAAAAGCAAAATTTTTAAAAATCATTTGGAAAATAATTGAGTACCAAATGTCATACCGAACTAATCAATAAATGTACTATCATTTTGACCTTAGATACATAGATTGTAAAGTTTTAAAATGAACTCTCCAGTTGAACATTGTAAAATTTAAATATTTAATTAAAACCAATCAGTTAAATATTTTTCACTTTTATTTTATGCTCTGATCAATATTGAACAACACTGGTAAACCTTCATGTTTTTTTAAATTGTATTATTCCACTAATTTAACTTCTAATAGTTGAGATCATGAATAGATTGAAGTTAGACCATTATGAAAAACCTGGAAGTACTGGACGGCCGACTTGTCCTATTGTGGGACTCCTCAGCAATGTGCATCCACGATCTCGCCTACCGAAATTCCAACCCAGGACCTATTAGTTACGCGCGCGAGCGCATAACCTCTAAACCACTTAGCCAGCGTCCAATGGTGTTAATGTCTAACTTCATAAAACATAGATGTTTTGTGTAATTCGAAGATTATGAATTCATTTAATTAATCATTTGAATGTCAGGAATGTTATTCATTACAATACAGAATTTACACCTAAGTGTTTTTTACAAACATCATCTAACATTACGGTAAAGTTCACCGATGAACCATATATTTATATTCGATAGTTTTGATGTTTGATTATACTTTCTTTAAAAAAAAGTTTAGACCAGAATAACAAGGTAAACTTTCAATTTACTGACAGTTCAATTATTGAAATTTTTACAAATATTTTGATCTCCGGTTTGCAATTTTTGATGTTTCTCTATCATATTAACGATGATTACCTAACCCTTTGTAATTTCAATACAACTAAAAGCTATTACAAAGCTTATCATTAGTTGTTATAAATAACTTTTATATATACATTTTAGGAATAATTATTCTTTAATGGTACATTGACCAAAGAAACACTGTAGGTATCTTACGATTCATGGTTGGTAAATACATTCAATATATTTTCCTTATAATTGTATCATACTTCAGATAAATGTGGAATTTTTACTTCTGGTCTCTAGGTATCACTTAATTAAGTAGTTGCAGCTTTGAATAAATGTCAGAGGTCAATTTTATCTGTCGATATGTCGATAATGAAAGCTTTCATGATGTTAATTCTGCTTGTCTTTTATAGTCAATTCTTTCCCAAACAGTAATCTTTTTGTATATTACACTATGTTACTTTTTCTTATTCAGTAGTTGACAATTATACAGAACATATGTTCGGAGTCAGTACACGAATTTTCATAGTTTACACCTCTTCATTACAAAAATAATCAGATATGGTGTCACAGATATGTAATCAGAATCTTATGCTCAGAGGATAGTGTGGATGGTGAAGTCAATAAACTAAAGAATATGTTATGAAATCACGGCTATCCTGAAAATCTAGTCAAAAAAACATACATCCTAAAAGATTAATATATACACTCAGCGAGATAACTCTTTATCTAAAACACTATTTTAAAGGGGACACAGGAGGGGGGAAACCTAAAATAACTGTTTAAAGAACATTCAACATCGTTAGTTTGCATATGATCTTCACAACCTAACCGGTTCTTACATAACTAATCAAGGACAGGTTATTGATAATGGGCAACTTTATGTGTGCATACCAGTTCAACTGCTCCTGTATAGCTAGTTACATATTCAGTACCCAGAAAGCTTTATTTTTGACTGCATGTAAACATTTACTAGCTAAGTTGGCAAAAGAAGTCAAGAAATCTTACAACAAATCATTTTGACCCTTTGTAACTGGTCTTTCTGATTGAGAAGTGATACAATTTTGAAGTATTTATGCCGAAACTGATGGAAACGTTCCTCTTTTTTCACACATCATACTGTTTGAATCACATAAGCATGACTTATTTTGATCATTGTAACTTAATACACTAATTATGCACTTATAATTGTAGAGAATGATGACAAAGTTACTAAAAACAGTTATTTGCTCTAATATTTTTTTGTAGTCGACAATTTCCCTCTTTGTTATTATGTATTTCATGATCCCAATGACGTTCAACTTATTTGTCATCGTAATTATATCCTCTTTACAGTGTCTAACAATTTATTCCATTACTTGTGTTCTCGCTAAACTATTACAAGGCCTATCATATGTTTTTTATATATAGTTCCTATATATTAGTTACATTACTTATAAAAACGTAAGCACTACAACTATATTTCAGAATGATATATATACCTAACCTACTTACGTGTAAATTCAACCATCACTAATAATTTCTTTGCTGATTTGTTCAGAAATCACTTCAAAGTTTTGGAAGGTTTTAACTAATTAGTACTGACTAGAAGATACTATTACATAAGAATTACAGAACGATTAACAAGCTGATTACTATTAACGTGTTGATGAGTTAATTCAAAGCGAAATTAATTCACACATTATTATTGATAAATATGATATCATATAAGATGATGATTGGAGGTAGTCAACAGGAAACCCTAGATCTAGGTTTCGTGCTACTTGGCACTCGTCAGCAAGGGAACTTATGCTCCCTGAAGGATTCCATCCCGTATCATCGAGCTTCACAGTCAGAGACATTACCACTGAGCTATGTTGAGGCACCTAGACTGGTGAACATATTGCAACTTGATCGATAGGATTCCGTCTGC